ATATATATATATATATTATCATATATATAAAAAAAATTAAAAATATTTTGAATAAATAATATTTGGAATAGCGTCGGTAAATATTTTCATTATTTATATAAATATATAAAAAAGTTTTGTTTTTGTTTATTATAAGATGAAATATTTTGCATCATATGACATTCATGAGCCATCACTGATAATGGATGTATTTTTCAGGCGAAATAACGAAGGGGGAACTATTATTACGTTTCACACACAACTTCCAAACTTTCTGAGAACAAAGAAATGAAAACTATTTTTTTTACGAATTAAATCGATTGCTTTGTTTTAATGGGACTAAAATAGAAATTTAATTATACCTTAACAATGTAAAAAAACGATTTAAAGAAACCAAAAATATCTAACGCGTCTATCACGAAGGTTCTATCACAACAGATCCTTGTTTAGAAGGTGTCAATAAAATTATTTTTTTTTTTTTTTTGTACACGGGAAGAAGTTTCAAGTTTGGTACTATTACGTCATAAGAACCTCAAAGATATTCAGTTTGATAATCTTAATGCAATAATAATATAATCAAAAAATGATAATAATAGAATATTACATTATTATACGTATAAATTATTTTTGCATGGATTCAATTTAAAGAATTTCTATAAGAAATTTTTACATTATCGGGTATTGAAATCCGATTTTCTTTATTTTAAAAAAATTTTTGTTGCCAATCAGCGTGTAACAATAACAATTGGGGATGACATTGCATCATTCTAAAATTTACATTAAGAAAATAATACAAAAAAAAAAATTATTAAATATTTAGAATTCATCATATATAATAAACAACAACAACTAGTTCAAGTATATTATGCGCATCAATAACGAATCAATTTGGAGATAAAAATAACTGGTTCCACAAAATATGTAATACATAACAGAAACGTGTTGGAAAAAAAAAAAAAATTTATTTCCCAAATTTGGATTTATCAATATATATTCATTAAGATCGACATAAAAACAAAGTAAAAGGCATTCTAGTAGGTTAATGTATTGTTAAACCTTCTTTTTTGCTTAAAATTAAATTTGAAAGAATATAATAAAAAAAGTTTTTCCACGAAATAATTGGAATAATGAAACAATTTTAAAAATAGATTTGTTTTCTAATTTTGGACTGATTAAATCCGTGTGTTTATGCAGAATTTTTTTTTTTCTTTTTTTTTTTTTTTTTTAAAAAAAAAATTTTTTTTTTGACGCAATCTTTGAATTCTTTCGAATTTTTCCTGCTAATTCCCGAAACTTAATCTTAAAAAATTTTTTAATATAAATACACGGTCAAAAAAACATTTCACATCATCTCAAAATTTTTTCATTCTATTAATTGAAATAGCAAAAAAAAAAAAAAAATGTCTTGCCAAACTTACAACAACACAATTAATAAATTCAAACTTCCGTTCCCACCTACTATCGATCCAAATGATATTGTAGAAAAACGTAAACCTTGTAAAGTTAAATCGAAAGGCCCAAATGCTTTCCTTATATATCGTAAAGCGTTCTTAGACCATCTCTCACACCTAAAATGCAATCTTAAAATGACTGATGTATCAAAATTAGTGAGCAAGTACTGGGAAGATGAAAGTAACACTGTAAAAGACGCATATCGTGACATTTCAAAAAAAGTAGAAGAATTATTAGTCGAACGACGTAAAAAAACCGTTTCGAATAGACTCATTTGGAAGAATTCTTCTACACATAAACGAAATCGATTAGAAAAGAAGACAACTAAAGTTCAAAAAATTAAATCACCAAAAATTAATACAGAGGTTATTCATTCAAATCGTAATTATCAATTTATATCAACATTTCCTGATACTATAACTTCATCGTCCTCACAAAAGCATGACACAGAAGTTACTATAATCAATGAACCTAGCACTCCTCCAGAAAATATTCAAAATCCACAACTTAACTATTGCCAAGAGTTCATTTACAATCCAGAATCATATCTTAATCAATTTTATTTCCCTTGTTACGATCTACAAATCGTAGAAAATCCTATAACAACAACAACGGTTATCGACGAAGGATGTTTACAAAATTTTTTAAATTGTTATCAATTTTATGAACCTTGTTCCAATCTAAGTATTTATGAGAATCCACAACAACAATTACAAGAAGAAACTTCATTATCGGCGAAAATGTATTAATTTACATTCATAAGATTTTTTATTATGACTCGAGGAAAATCCAAACAAAAAAATTTCGTTATCGTCGAAGATCATTTGATCTGTATTTACAATGCGTAAAATGCTTAAAAAATTTTTCTTTTTCGAAATTACTGTACTTTTTTTTTTTTTCGTTATATATATTATTAATTCGTGTAAATATTATATTTTTTTTCTTTTGTATCATTTTTTTTCTTATTTATAATTTTTCGCTATTATTTCGCGTTGGAATTCATTCAATCTTAACATCCTCTCTTTAAAATTAAGAATCCTTTATATTATAATATACAAGTAATATATCAATCTATCATCAACATTAGCCGCATTATTGAAAAAAAAAATTTTTTCCCATAATGATATAATGATAGTGACAATAAAAAAAAATAGAATAATGCTCTAAACGGCAATGATCTACTTTTTGTATTACAAATGTGAACGCCCTGCATTCTATTATATTTTACTCAATTTATATGTGAATATAATAAAATTATACAGTATATAGTAAAATGATGACTAATTATTGTTGCCTTTATTCAAAATATATTATGAAATAATCATTAGTAATAATTTTTTTTTTAAAAGTATATGAGTGCACCGACAATTATCTTTAATATATTCGCATTATGTTGATTAATAACAATCGAAATAATAATCTATTCACAAGATAATGATTGACAAACCATACCAATTGAGGCATTTGGGATCGTGTACGGTTACGGTAACTGAACTTTTTTTTCTTATCGTGAGAACTGAGAACTACAAAATTTCATGTGACTTTATTTATTTATTTTAATTATAAAATTTTTGACACTCATTAAAATAAGTTAGACGTCAATGTAAATAGTAATTATAGGTTCGATTCTTTTTTTTTTTTTTAATTAACGGAAATTCCTTTCATAATAAAATATCAAAACTTAAAACTATATTTGAAAATCATATCAATTATAATTAAAGTTAGTCACACAGTACACATATTATCCTTAAGATATATATTCTAATTTATCGTTCGTAATAAAATGGAACAAAGAAAACCTTATTTACATTCTCCATTTCTAGAAGAAAAAAAGAAATTCTAGTTACTTTAATATAAAGAAAAAACTATTTGCATTTTCCATTTTCAGTAAAAAAAATGGGATTTTATTTTCTTTACTTTTATGTAAATCCTTATGTCAAAAAAAAAAAAAAAAAAAAAAGATCGTTGCCAAATTTGATCTCAAAATTCCTGTTATTGCACAATTTTAGTTATTTTTTATTACACGCTATTTTAAAGTTTCATAAACATGTGTTTTCTATTATTCTATTGATGCATAAAACTAAACTTTTTAATTGATTAAAATATTTCCTTGTAAGGTGAGAGTCTTTAAAACATTTTCATTATCATCTTTTGAATATATCCAATTAAGTATCTTATAATTCTTTGATATCTTGAAGTAGTAAGGAACTAAGAATATTAAATTTCTTTTATCAAAATGTAGTATTTTTAAATAATAATAATATTTGACTCAATAAGACCAATTCATAAAGTCATAGTGCATTGTGCTGAACAAGTGGATTCATTTTCTTTTACAATATCAATTAGACCGTTTCAATTCGATTACAATATTTGTTTGTCCTGTCATCATCTATTTTTAAAAAATTCCAATAAACATAAATTATTAATAAAAATTTTGAATCCCTGGAATTTTCCTTCCGAAACTCTGGAAAGGCCTTATTTTGGATGATAAAAAATTTTTGCACAGACATATGACGTAAATTATGCAGTCAGTTTCTCAATAACTTAGTCATGCTATATGGACCAAAAAATTTGCGTCCGTTAAAATTTACCGGACGTAGCGAATCACGTGACTATCGCTTCTGCCAAGAATAATCATGAACAAATAAATCAAATGGATTTAAGGGTAAACCTTTAATTAATGTAAAATATTTCCTTGTAGAAAAGTCTTTATCTTCAATATCCTATAATAATTCTTTGATATCTTGAAGTAGTATGGAAAATTGGAAATTGGAATTTCACAAAAATGTTGACCCATAAAGAACAACTCATAAAGTCATAGTGCATTTTGCAGAACAAGTGAATTCATTTTTTCTACAATATCGTTCCAATTTAATTACAATATTTGTTTATTCTATCATTAATAAACATAGTTAATAAGAGTATGTATGTATGCTTAAAATGTGAAAAATTCAGAATTTCTGAAATTAACTAAAAAACTCTGCGGATAGGTCTTATTTTGGATTATAACAAAATTTTTTTGCACAGACGTAATTATGCAGTAAGTCACTTAGTCATGCTTAGACCAAAAAAAGAATTTGCGGCCATGGTTTATCCGGTGTCCGTTACATCATATTTAACCACGTGGAACCAGTATCGCTAAGAAATTACTAGTCATGTGACCAAACAATGAATTTCATTAATATTAAAATATTATAAGGGGGAGTCTTTAACATTTTCATCATCTCTTTAAATATCCAATCAAATATCTTATATTTTTAAGTAGTATGGTAATTAGGATTATAAATTTTTCCACAAAATGTAATATTCTTTTGAAAAAATAATATTGACTCATAAGACAAATTCATAAAGTCATAGATGCATTGTATGGAACAAGTGAATTCATTTTTCTACAATACCGTTCCAATTTAATAACAATATTTTGTTTATCCTATCATCCTCTATTTTTAAAATTCCAACATAGATAATAAGAGTACGTATGTATGCTTAATGTGAAAATCCCGAATTCCTGGATGATGATAACATTTACATAATGACGTAAATCATGCAGTTAGTCATGCTTGCTTAGGCTTAGGCTGTACGTACCAAAAAAAGAAAATAATCCGGACTTGCGTCCGTAATTTACCCGGAACCGTTGCATATTCATCCACGTGGAGGAATGGAAAAAGTGGTTGTGAAACCGGATTATGTAATTTAATGTTTCACTCAGTATCGCCAATAATTTTAACGTTGAGAAATTTAATCATGTGACAAATACATGGGCTTGATCGTATTGTCTATCATCAAATGAGCAAATGGATTTAAGCATAATTCCAGCCGGAGTTATGTAATTCCAGTACGATCTTACATATTTTTTTTACCTTTGCAATTAAAAGTATTCTATTGTTATTATTCTGTTACATGACTAATATTATTTAGGGTCAATACTTTTTATTAATTTTTTTGTAAAGTTGAGATAGAATTTTTTCGTTTCAAATCAGCAGTGTTTTTCGGGGGTTCACAATTGTGAGAAAACTACATAATACTAGAGAAGGGAATAACTCATTATATATAATAAAAATCATATGATAAATGTAAAAAAAAACCAAGGAAAATAATATGTTAAAATAATTATACCTTTATTATTGAGAAAAAAATAACTACATTTCACGCGCGTCATATTCCACTTTTTACATGCGAACTTTGATAACTTTTTATTATATTATTAAATTTAAATATCAACAAATGGTTTATAGTAATAATCAACCAACTCCAAATTACTAAAAAAAAAATATTTATTAATTATTTAATTGTCAATTCGTTTAAGATTGGCACAATTTTTACTTTTTTAGCATTATATGTTCGGAGTGAAATTTAACGAAAATTGCGTAGTTGGCAATAAATTCACAAATACTGAAACCGCTATAACTTAATATTTTTTAATAAAAATCATACGATATATGTAAAAAACCCCAAGGAAATACAATATGTTAAAATAATTATAACTTACTAAGAAAAAAAATGACTTCACATTGTACGCGCGCCAGATTTCACTCGCTATATGTATTTTATATATACGATAGCCGTTTCTTAGACGGATCGGCAATTAAACTACTAATAAATATTTGCTTTTTCTAACCAATATTAAGGGATCAAGATTGTGTTGACATGTTCAGCTTTAAAATTATTCTTTAAAAAGGTTATAAAAGTGAATTCCTAAAATTACAGAAAAAACCATAGCGGTGAAGAAGATTATTATACGACTTTTAGCCGAAAAGCGGAAGGAAAATTTGAGGCATAAGATATTGTTTTTATTATTATTTTTTTTTTTAAAAAAAAATATATATATACGAATTATATTATTGTTATTTCATTAAAATCAACAACTTATTTAACGTGGTTGCTAGATTGAAATATTAAATAATAGATAAATGAATAATATTCAGAATTTCAGATATATAAAGTAAACTTTACCAATTTTTGTATATTGATAAGTTGACGTATCTTCTTTATTAAAATATTTATTTCGTTAATTTCCAACTGATAACCCTAATTTCACAAAATTCGTTATGTTAATCCCATCGACATCAAAAAATAAATTTGTAACTCTACTACTAAATTGATGATCATTGGATACAACTACTGAATTTAAATATTTATTACATTTGATTTGATGGATCATTTTTAATTTGTGACTTAATAATTCGTTTGCGTTATTAGTCGGTGCATGACTTCTTGTAAACCTACATTGATTTAGCGTTTCTCTAATGACGTCTACTATTATAAGAATAACACGAAACGAGCAAATCTCCAAAGATTATTATTATTTTTTTTTGATTGGCAACGCATTTCTTTATGGATAAATACCTATTTAATTACAGAAATAAATACACGGAGGCATTCATACTCATATGATATGACCCATAACAAACCGATCTACCCTCACTCTACATAATAAACTGAAGACCGGAAAAAATTACCCAATTTCTGCTCTTCCTACTATCCCTCGTCAACTATCTAGGAATTTACACGAGCCATTAGTGCAATGGTACGCCCATACCTGCCGTGCCCTCCTACAAAACCTAGAAACCAAGTAATTTGTCCTCAAAACGAACTAAACTACCTAAAAGTAGAATTGGGAATATCTCCGTTATATGGAAATGTGATCTAACCTAAACAAATAGCGAACTTATCACTTGTTCAGAAAATAGAACCACTTCTTTTCCAATGTCGAATACCCACAACCTTACTCAACTTAAAAAAAACGTTAGTATGTATCCCCAAGAAACTAAACTCACCATATGAACACCGACGAAGCAAAAAGCAGGTCGTCCGACATGCAGTAGCGGTACGGTTGATTCGGCGGTGCCCTTGTCCAGTCAAATTCCTCGAAATCCATAACGAGATCCATTAGGAGACCTTTTATTTGTTTCTCGAAACTTTTTTTCGTGCAAGCACGATACTTGAGAATAAGGTTCCTAGCGTCATTCGAACAAACCACGTGACTTGCTGTAGTTTGAACCAGATCTCGGGTTTAAAATTCATGTTTTTATCACTTTGAAATTTACTAATCGCATTCATAGTTGTAATTTCATTTCCATATTAGGGTATCTCGTACGTACACGGTACACGTTTTTGATACGTCGCGTAAATTTTCATTATAATTGTTAAGTTTACTTTTTAACGAACTTTTTTAATTTTCTTTAAATGGAAATGTTATTGAATTTTTTAAATAATATCGCACAACTGACAGCTTTTTTTTTCTTCTCCTTCCTTTTATCTAAGCAATGATAACGCACATGTATTTATATAAATCACAAAGACGAGGCATATATTTGCTGAATGAAAGCATTAAGTCCTTAATTGGATTATCTTTCAATTTTGGTATCAGTAATTTCTCTGCTTTCTCCTTCATTTTCACGTTTTATAATTTCAACATGTGATTAAGTGTTGCAAATACGAAACAGGAAAACATGTATTGATACTGCATGGATATTTAAAAAGAGGACAAAAAAGTAATTTGTAGAATAATATTAAAGTTTTTTGGGTTTATTCTTTGTTCATCCGTTATCGAAGATAACGAGAAAATAAACGACATATGTGCGAAAAAAAAAATTATTATAAAATTATTATTTACTCGGTTCAAATCTCTTTCATTTTGTGTAATAATTTATATTTATATAATTTATTTTGATCAATCCTTTTTATTTATTTATTTATTTATTTTTAGTTCCGATTTTCATCTCCTGACTTTGAAAATTTCCATAAAATTTTTTTAACATGTAATATTTAAACTTTTTTGATTTTTCGTATCTTTGAAAAAAAAATTTATATAATCGTATTTTTTATTTACTTTTCAATTGTTTTAATATTAAAGACAATCCTTTGGTAAAACGTGGAAAAAAAATCCCAATTCGCCCCTTTAGCCACTAATTATTAAAAAAGGATACGAAAGATAGAGATAATACCAGTTATTTATATGCATGTTGTGTGATATTTTCTTGATGTATAAGGAAAAGAGACGTAACTAATCAGTCATACTTTTACCCTATCTACTTTGCCATTCGGAAATTCGGAACGAACTAATGTACTTTGATAGAAAGAAAAAATTTTTTTTTTGACAGTTAAAGCTGTGATACCATTATTCGCATGTGATTTTGTGATTTTCTTACATTCATTCGCAAACTGAATAGTTTGTTATAATAATACTTATAAATATTCTAAGTATACATAATTTATTATAAACCATAAATCATATTGATACATAAGGGAAATTAAGGTGAAATTGTCATGATGACCATTAAATATAAAAAGGCTATATAGATAAAAAAAATACGATCCGGTATATCTTATAATGGGTAATATCTTATAGACTTATAATAATGGATGGAATAAGAAAGATACGTATAATGCATAATACAATATTCTTGAAAAAGAAACCATGTTTATGTAGAATACTAGTTAAGAAATTCAAATATTGTATGCATTAACGAGAAGAAATTTAGTGTTTGTAGTATAAATAAAAAAATCTGATTAATAAATAAATTTATTTACTTGCCAAGTATATTCATTTTTTTTAAAAAAATTGACTATAATTTGTCAATAAAAAGAAAATCCGCTGAAAAATTGAGCAATTAATAAAACGCTTGTACTTTGTTGTGGAAGGTTTGCGATAAGCCTCACATTATTAATGGGTATGCTAGGTCGAAAATGTCTTCTTATAATTCTTTGTCTTCTTAGTTGTTTTTGTCTTTTTTGAGAAGGCATTTTCGTTTGTATAACGTATATTAAGGAGGAGATAAAAAATAATATGTGTATATTTAAAGGAGAAGAAAAAAAAGATACAAAAAAACGATGTATTTATAACATTTAAATATTTATAATATTGCACAAAACTACATATTAAATAATAACAGATAACGACAGATAATTGATGCAATAAACATGTATACTACTTTAAAATACTAAGATCCGAATAAATATACTATATATAATTTTCCAATTTTCAAAGTGAAATTCACCAATTGCAGACAGAATGTCTTAACTCTGGCGTCTTAGTATTTTGAAACAGAAAACGTGAATGGACCGTTAAAAATCGGGCATTGCCTATATTGATTTTATTACTAATTTATTATATGAACGATTATTAAAGATTTTTATAAAAGAAAATAATTTGTTTAACTCTGTTGGCGACTTGGCGTCTTAGTATTTTGAAACAGAAAACGTGAATGGACCATTAAAATCGGGGCATTGATTATATTGATTTATTATTAATTTATTATATGAACGATTATTAAAGATTTCTATAAAAGAAAATAATCGGTCTAACTCTGTTGCGTCTTAGTATTTTGAAACAGAAAACGTGAATGGACGCGTTAAAATCGGGGCACTGCTTTATTGTGGTTTTTGCACCTATAATTATTATTTTATTATTAATTTATTATATGAACGATTATTAAAGATTTCTGTAAAAGAAAATAATCTGTTCAACTCTTGGCGTCTTGGTATTTTGAAACAGAAAACGTGAATGGACCGTTAAAATCGGGGCATTGCCTATATTAATTTTATTATTAATTTATTACATGAACGATTATTAAAGATTTTTATAAAAGAAAATAATCGGTCTAACTCTGTTGCGTCTTGGTATTTTGAAACAGAAAACGTGAATGGACGCGTTAAAATCGGGGCACTGCTTTGTTGTTACGGTTAAGTAAATAAAATTTCCGATGTTTGATTTCAAACCAATCAAAAAAAGTAATTTACTTAATAAGGTGGCTTCTAATGGGCTGTGTCGAGATTTTGGCTGTGCAGTACATTATTAATGCTGATCACTGATCACAGCCCTGTCAGTCTTTTAGTTTGGTTTATTAATTTTATTACATAAACCCTATAAAAAATATTGTTCAAACACTGTTCGGTTTTTTGTTCGGAAAATCGACCCGTTCGAACATTTACTTGACATTTATTGGACATTCACCATGGTATTGTACGTTTTTTATGTGGTTGTTTAAATAGCTTAATATTTAACGACGATTGGTTTCCAAAAAAGTAAATTTCTATGCTGATCATTTAATGTTGGGCAGAATTAAATTTAACGAAAAAAAAGAAAAAAGAATTTGTTAAATAAATCAAAATTGGCATACAAAATCAACTTTGACGCTTTAAGTAAACTTGCATAACAGACAAAAATAAATACACATAATGCATTTCCTTTAAAATTATATTTATTTTATGGATAGTTGAGACAATTACTATAGTAAAGAACTGAAAGCATTAAAAATGAGAACAGTTAAAATAATACTAAATAAAGAGTCGTCCAAAAAAATCAGGCCTCAAACTACATTTAGAAAATGACTCAAACTGAAACACGACCGAATCAGCGGAGGAAATAAAAACGAAATAAAAAAATAAAAAAATGACCCAAAACAAAAAAATTAAAGATCCGTATTTTTCTTTATTTCGACAGAAGTCGCTACCTGTAAATACTGTCATAGGTGGAGTGGTTCACACTATTCTAAATTGTTAATATATAACCTTACCCATTCGGGTGAAAAATAAAAACTATTAGAAATAAAACCTATTTAAAAGGGTACTTGACTCCTATTAATACAATTAATTAAAACTAATTTAAATTTGTAGATGGTGGAGTCTTCAATAAAAATGGGAACAGAGCGAAGCCGTTTCTGTTTGATCGAAACATGATATGATAAAAGGTTAGAATTATGGTCCACGTCCCGTTTATTAGGACGGAATTCGAGGGCTTGAGTCTCCTCTAAAATATATGAATCATCCTCAGGTGTATGCGCTTTGCGGTGTTTAGTATATTTCTGAAGATACTCCGGTGAAGAGTATTTAAGAAGACATTTCCTCACGTATTTGCTCTTGCTTTGTAAGATTAGCATGATGTTTGATGTACTGAGCGATATTTCGCCATTCCCTTCATAATAACGGTCGTTAAAACCCGTTAACAGTAACGTTTCTCGTTCACGCACGCGAAGATGTTTAACACTTATACCAAGATAACCAGCACGCTCTTTCTGTACTCGAGCGATTTCAAGTTCTTTTTTAGCGGATTCAGCTGTATAACGAGCCAATTATATAGATTTATCCAATTCATGTTGTATTCTAAGTTCGTCTGCACGGCGTTGATGTGCCAAAGCTTTTTCCCAAGTTCGTTGAAACGTAATATCAGCTCGTATCTTTTTTTCTAAAGTGGACATATAAGTAAACCATTCACGAGAACCTGGAACAATAAAGACTCCATCAGGAGTACTATATAACGGCTCTGTCGGAATAATATCACGATATTTATGAGGAATGAACATTATCCGGAATTGGATTATAAGGTGCAACTGAGCATAAAGTCGATGATGAGGAAGAGGAATCAACAGGTGCGATGTCAACTTCTGTCGAAGAGATCTTGTTACCAAGCGAAGCAAAATTTATTTGCTTGCGTTTGAGAAAATAAGGAATAAGAAAACGATATTTTTCGGCGTCCGGGGCGCTTCCTGAACAATGATATGTTTCACGGGCTTGTTGATATACTGCGATGGCAGAAATAAAAGATGGTATCTTTTAGCGATAGCTAGTCGATCAGATGGAGAGTGATCGATCCCAGGTTGAGATTTCGTTCTGTTAAAAACACGTCTGCAAGATCGTTCAAATCGTTTTTCTTGTTTCTTCTTAGTACATAAATTAGTACTTGTAGTTACTCGAAAATTCGATAATGTTTTCCGGTACATATGCTTGTTCCCAAGATGTAAAATAGAAGTAGCATCACGAGCAGCGTGATAAGTTTCACTACTATAAGATATACCTAAGCGATTAGAAAATACCTCTTTTGTCCGGCCATATTGCCAACGACAAAATAAAAGATTAGCATGGGCTGATTTATCATTAGTGAAATCCACAGTCGTATCTTTTTTAACTTTTGGAGCCTTCGAGATAACAATCTCCTTAAATGCTTGTGACAAATGAATCCCGCAGGCGTATCTATTGCTGACATAATAAGAGGGCTAGGTACGGAACAGACACAAGTCTGTTTAGGATTATGTAGATGAGGAACAGCGAACTGACATGGAAGAAAAATGCCAAAGTAAAAACCTATATCGTTTGTACGAAAAATTAAAGAATGTTTTTGTCCTGTAATTTCGACATGTGATTTTGTCTACGTGATCTTATAATAAGATACGCTCCGGTAATTTTTTTACGAATAAGATTAAAATATTTTTGTTGAATACGCCGAGGAATAACTCTTTGTGCAGAAAAAAAGTGAGTGAGGCTTTTGCTGATTTGAAATTTGTAATTCAGAACTTGACTCGTGGAATAATAACGAGTGGTAGATGACATGATCTTAAGATGAATTTCATTGGTGTCGGGTATTTGGTCGACAACCTCAAAAAAGAAACTTTTTTGAACGCCTAAATTCATAAATCTTGTTAAAACCCAGTTTTCTTATTTCTGGTCACGTGAAATTTGTTAAAAGAGACGAGAAAAGAATTATCCACACTAGGGGAAGAAGGAGTATTATCAAAGAAAGTATTTGAAGTTATAATATCTTCGGGTTGAATATCACTTTCAAGAGGACCAACGTCTGAAAGTTCAGGAATAAAGATAAAATTGTCGGCATTCCTTTAAAATTATATTTATTAAAAATTTTTTTTTTTACGCAACTTTTAATAAAGTCACGTGATACGTGTATGAACACCCAGTTGTATTTTTTACGAGAAAATGTTTGGTTTTGGCTTTTATTAGAGTTTATCATCAACCCAGTCGAAACCAGTTAATTTATAAGCCAAAGAATTATGTCATTTTAATCATTAGAATACAAATTGATTTGCCATTCAAGGAATTATAATAAATTTTGATAATATATGGACACCATATAATTAATTCCCTTTCCAACAATTTTCAATTAGTAAAATTAGTAAGATTAAAATCAGACCTTCTCTTCTTCTACAGAATTCAACAGATCATCGTGTTACGCGTGATTATATAATTGATAACTTTGAACAATTGGAAGAATCAAATTTACTCCAAGATTGTTCAGAATGCGGTAAACCTCGAATTTCTTTTGAATGAAGCATAACTTGCCATATTGGACATTGGACATAGGGATGGCAACGGTCACGGTCATTAACCGATTATGACCGGTCATGACCGTGACCGATATCGGTCGGTCAAGACTTCTGACCGACCGTTTGACTGACCGTTTGACCGACCGTTTGACCGACCAAATTTTTTTATGAAAAATTTAATAAAAAACGTCGCGAAAACGTTTTTTATTAATAATTAATTAAAAAAAAATGTTTTTTGCAAACGTTTTAATCATTTTAACAAAAAACGTTGCGAAAACGTTTTTATTAATAATATAATTAAAATAAAACGTTTTCGCAACGTTTTTTTAATTATTTTAATAGAAACGTTGCGAAAACGTTTTTTATTAATAATTTAATAAAAAATAAACGTTTTCGCACGTTTTTTCAATTGCCTTAATAAAAACACTGCGAAAATATAAAAAAAATGATCGGTCAAATGGTCGGTCAAACGGTCGGTCGGTCGGTCAAAGGTTCTTGACCGGTCATGACCGACCGATGACCGACCATGACCGACCGTTGCCATCCCTAATTGGACATCAGGAAATAAAGAGATTGACAAATTAATTCGCTACACTCAATTAAATGCTGCTACTCAAGCTTGTGATTACTTGGATACTAGTACCTTTTGAGAATTTTGAACTTGTTAAATATATTGGTAAGGGTATATTTAGTGTTTATTCAGCTCTTTGGATGGAAGGACCTAGATGGATTTGGGATGATGGATAAATAATAGATTTTTTATTTTTGGACCGCAATTTAAAAATAAGAAAATCATTGGTTATTATTAAATTTTGTGATCAGTGATCACCCAACTCAATTTTAAATCACATGTTTGGTTAATTCATCCCAAGACCTCATAAATAGGTAACAAGAGATCGGTACTCATTTACTTTAGCTCTACGCTTCAAGCCAGATCTACACGTAGGTTCATTCTACTCTATATTGTTACCTTTTTATGTATTGCTTGGGTCCTCCTAATAATTTCGATCGACTGAGAGATCGATTTCACAAAATTACCTGAAATATTTCAATTAAATGATAAAAAGAATTACTAATTGGTCATTGAAATTAGGAATGACAATTTTTATTTTCTATCAGAATCAGAAATTGATTCGGAGTTTGGAAAGCTGTCTAATAAAAAAATATTTACATTATATATTCGTTAAACAGTCAATGGGGAAATTTTCTTTAAAAAATTGAGTTCAAATAATTTACTATGTTCAACTATTTTTTAATCATAACCTTATAAAGATCATAAGAATAATTACGAATATGTAACATAATATGAACACCAAATAAATTTGCAGTTGTGTAATTCACTTGACACGTATGCTTGCAAAACTGGTCATGACTAATTTAGAGATGATTTTTGAGTAACACAGAAATCATACGACTAAATTTTGCACGTTTTGAAGCTTGAGATGTCTAAATTTTATGGGGCCTATGTATAGAGTATTATTGATTAGTTAAATACTTCATAATTTTTTCTAAAAATGCTTTTAAACAAAAATGGAAAATTTTAGATTATTAGTAATTAATGAGCGATTGTTTGTAGTTATAATCGATTTGAACAATTTTAAAAAAAAGTTTAGAATAAATGTGATGAATGTGGATCAATCAAAAGTATTTCAAATAAATTGTATATCAAATCTCGATATTTTATAGCATATTAAATAAAATATAGGGTAGATTATTTATTTTCTTTGTATTATATAGAGAAAATTAGGAGTTCGATCCTATTTTCAGAGTAAAATTCAAATCCCTATCACGGCAATTCATACTGTAATTTTGATTAATTACATTAACTTTTTATTCATCAATGTCAAAACATTCTATAAGAAATAATATCGGCACGTAAAAAAATTTATAATAAAAATATTTGTAATACTGTAATACAGAAAGGTATATGAAATATTGAAACAATCAATAAATCATTAAACGTTTAATGCTAATAATTAATACCATTAAAAGAAAACAATTCATATTATTCGTTCTAACAAATAAATATTGTTTTTTCGTAATTTTGTATATTATTACTTAACCTTTTTTGAAATAAAGATGCATTAAGCATTTAATTCCGTTATCACTATAAAATTTTTAGGTTATTTGTAATAATTACCGGTTCTTGATAATATGTACTCGACCCTATTTATAATATGATACTTGACATTTTCCGTTATAAATATTAAATACTGTATTTTGTGTATATAAGCACCCTTTTTTGCACTTAATGCTGGCCTAGATCCTCATAATTCTGGCCAAAATCGCCATAATTCTGGCCGGGTACTTATTTTTGGGGGTGCTTACTAACCGCAAAATATGGTATATATTATGAATAATTATGAAAAACGAGAAATAGAAATATTTAATATATGTGATTGTATTTTTAGTGAATAAATCCAAAAAAAGATATCAAATATTTAAAAATAAAATCATCCAAACATTTTTTGAATCTTTCGTGTCACATTATGACGTTATAGTATACTCTAAATTGGATTCAAACTCGAGAACTATCTATTATTCGTCGATATTGATTTAAAATGAATATAGTCCATTATAAAATTTATTTTTTAAAAAACTTCTAAATTAGTTCTTTTATTATTACAGTATTATAATTATAATTACAAAACCTCGCTTGATCCAATTCTCATTTAAGACGTTTCGTAGTCGTTTGAATTGGGATTGGAATCGATTCAATCGAAAATCGAATCTTGAGAATCGATTAAAGATTCGATTAATTTTTTTAAATGTATTAGTGGCGCAGCAATTTCGATGACCTCGCAGCACAAAATTTCAAGTGATTTAACTAATCTATCTTTTATTTTATAATAAGTTATTATTTATTTGGATATATTGTATTGTTTATTACAAACTTATCAAAAAAAAAATCAAGGTTTTAAAATTCGTTTCCAAACCAATCAGTTATTTTTCACCCTAAATATATCTACATGTTTTCTATTTCTTTTTAAAAACATAATTTTATTAACGATGCTTGAATCTAGGCGATTTCTTTGAGTAACTGCTGGTATTGAGGTAGCCAGAATGGAAAGATATTTCATTGCCATTTTATGCAATATAGGATATTGGCTTTGTTTGTTGGCCACCATGCAAGGGAATCATATTCCTCAAGCTGGCAATTCTCTAATTTTTGTCTTCTGTTTCTTCAACTGTAGTGGTAGCCATGTTTTTCGTAATGGTGAGAAAAAGTGAAAATATGTATATCAGATATTATTTATATGTTGATCATCAAATGTTGATCATTTTCCAGCAATTTTGATAATTCCGATATTATTTTTTTTACCGTAACGGCGTAACGTAGTTATAGAAATGACAAGACTACTTTTGTTGCGTCATAATATAAAAAAAATTGATTTATTGAGATTCGATTTTTAGATTCGATTAATCGATTCTACTAGATACGATTCGATTTTCGATTAATTCGATTTTGGTAGAATCGATTTCAATCACAAGTTTGAAACGTGTGTGTTTCATGATTGGTTTTATAATATATTGTTACTTATGATTTTCGAATGTTCATAATTAATCAGTTCACCAAATATATACATACCAACATTTTTGATAATATTTTATCCGTATAATGATTGTTAAATAAAAGACATTTTAATTTTTTTTCGATCGCGGAGTTAATCGGAGTTGAAAATATTGTGACTCCGATAGATAAAGTATGTATGTGTATGCCAAGTAACGACGGTACATTCTTTGTATTCTTTGTTTTATTTTCAAATAATAAAATATTTAGGACCAATGAACGATCAATATAACAAAAGAATATGGATAATAAAAATATATACTGACAATGGAAATAACTTTTTTTAAAAAAAAGCTAGTATTATTACATTTATTATGTACAATATGATCAATGTTGAATCAACTTTAGCTAAAAAAAAAATTATTTGATTATTTTGTTATATTGTGATTATAATTTTAAATTATCGAATCATTTTATAGTTATTAATTTTTTCTTTGGTTTCAATTCGATTTTCTAAAGCATAAATAATGTTATTTTATATGAGCTCCCTATAAAAAATTTTTCAGAAAAATGATCGCGTGTCTGAGTTTCTTCGGAATAAAACTAGAAAAATGATCATTTATCGGAGTTTTTCCCGATTTTTTTTATAGGGGCTCAAAGTTGTATAACCTCAGTACATTGATATATAATATAATTTGGTTACGACCATTTGATTTATTTATTTACCAATAATAATAGTTCCCTTTGTAAATACTAACCTAACACGCAAAAATTTAATTTCTCAATTGTTGATAACAAGCATTTAATTTTTCATTCTTCTAAAGAAGGCTACGTACTGTATTGACGATTGGTTAATACTGTAAATTTAAAAGCAACAAATTTGTGAACATCCGTTTCAACTAAGAAATACCAATTATTAATAAGCCATAGACCTAACTTGGTAATTACCAAAAATTCATATGCATGGCGCAAGACTACAGTATCTATTGGTAGAATATTTTTATTTTAAAATTACAAAATTATGAGATTAAAATATAAATTTAAAAATTATTAGTATTAAAGTAATGATGATTTTACATTGATAATCAAGTAGTGGTATTAGGTTTTTGACTCTTTGGTTACACGCATTCTTGCTTATGCTCATAAACGATGATCTAGAAAATCATCTTTTGATTTATAAATTTACGAGCGTAATATTCATTTAATTTATCCGCGCAAATCAACTTTTTTTCGGATAGAAGACTGAGCGATTGTTCCTTTCATTAATAAACGCAGAAATGTAATTTTTTAATTATAAAATTTTAAATTCTTTTTTGATAACTTAAAACTTTACCGTTAAAATTTATTATGGGTGAGTGACCAGCCAATTTCTGCATGTAATTAGGTTAAAATAAATAAGATTCATCTTTCTGTTCATTTATTCGTCCATGATGATCGATCCTTGCCAATTTTTATTTATCATCAATATATATATATATATATATATATATAACTGATATAGAATCGTAGTTCTTTCATTGGTAATAATAATATTTATGATGAATAATCCTTCGACTCTAACCTATTTAAAAATTAATTGATAATACCTGTCTCTTATACACATCTAGATGTGTATAAGAGACAGCCCTTTTTCATTTCAATTTTTTCTTGTTGTCCTACTGTATAAAAAAAAAAGAAAAGGTATAAAAATAAATTGTAAATCTTTTTCAAATGAACCTCTTAATTCGTACTAAAGTATTTTCCAAATATGAGGCAAATAAATAGCTCATATTTGGTTAATAATTTGTAGACCATTAACGTTTATCTTTTGAATCGGAATAAAGTCCGTATCAGCTTCACAATATAAAAAAGTTTCTCAAGCCAATCTTATTGTGTACATGTGAATTGATGGAGTTTTTGAATTAAAATATTCGGAAAATTTTTCCTTCTCAGAAATTTCTACTGTACATGCCGATTACCGCAGTCGTTAATACAGTAAGGTTCGTACTCACGTGAATGTCAATCATTAATTTTGTCCATACTAAAAGAATTATCGAAAACCTCAAAGGATAGTTATTTTAAATGAGTACATTATTGATTGTAATATCTGATAATGCATTATTACATTAATTAGAACAAAAATAACAAGAAGCAAAAATAAAAGAAACATGGTTTCAATTGTGCGTGCAATAGAATTTAGCATTACGTTACTATGTTTTATCTTTTGTATCACAAATCCTTAAAACGTATTTCTTTTTTACTATTAAAAAATTGTGAAAAAAGTCCCCCTAAAAAAATTCCTTTATATAGTAATTATAAATTATAAGAACTTAATAATAAAAATTTATAAATGGAAAACCTAGAAATTAGAAGTTTCCATTAATTTAGTAAAATGCGGATTAACATATTAGTTATGCACGTTGAAAATTATTGTTTCATGGTTTTTAATTAACGTAATAAATCTTTTATCAAATAAAGTTATTTGTCTAATTTTTTTTAAAAAAACTTTTGACTACTGAAAATATATGAAAATTATTTTATTTTATTTTATTTTTTTTTTTTTGTGTTTGTTTGTATTAAGTTAATTTTGATTTACAGTAAATAATATGCACAATTTTTTACAATTTTTGTTATGATTTGTTACCAGGACCCCAAAAATATAAACATATTGATTTTTATTTAAGTCTAAAATATTTTTTCATACGCCACATTATAAATTACATTATGATAAAGAAAAAAAAAGGACCCGTTACAATATTTGAATAAGTAAATAATTAAAAGAAAAAAAAATATACATATTATTATTAAAAATTTTTTCTCTTTTACAGTATATATAATAATTTTAAAAGTCAAAGATTCTGTTTAATAACGAAATTTTCATTATTATTTAATGCTTCTTCAAGTTTAGAAAAATGACTTATTTTACACTTCTTCTATGATAATTTGGAAATGGATTATTGTAACGTTTTCTGTTAGTAGTTGTTGTTCTCTTGCGTAATAATTGAGATTGGTTAGTTCCACGGAATGGGGTTGGTATGTTTCTGGTTACCATACTAAATAAAATGATTAAAAAATTATTAAAAAATCTCAAAGAAAAAAACAATTGCCTCTTTTCTTGCCTACCGTAATACTTCACTACGAGAATTTAAAGCTCTACGTTTCGTAGCGGATTCAACCGGAGAATTGGAGATAAAATTCACAAGTAAAACAGCAAAGACTAAAAGTACAATCCAAGAAATTCTTGCCATTTTATTTATAAAAGCAAATTTTTATGAAAGAAAAAAATCTAAATTTTATTTTCTAGTTTCGTAAAAAAAAAACGAAAAGGAGGTAGGAGGTTAAAGGTGAAGGAATTAAGAGTAAAAATGAAAGACGATTTTCCGCACTGCAGAATTAAAGAAGGATTGTCTATTATCAGATGTTGACGTTGAAATATAGTTAATAATGGTCTTTTTATACAATTTTATGCTATACAGATCCATATCGAAATATTACACAGGCACACAGCATATGATTTACACAGCATATGATTTACAGATAAATTGCATAATTTAAATTGACGCAGGTATCACATACTAGTCTAAATAAAATAAGATAAGGTTAAAAAAGATTAATTAACAACTCATATACTTGAAACGTTACCAATAAATGTAGACTATAGCCTAACACCAATAAGCTGCTTTTAATGCACAAAATTTAAGGATTCGAATATTTAATTTAACAATTTTTTTTGAAGGTTGCAAGAGTCAAATTTTGGCCAAATGATAATTGGCGTTCAAAAGATTAAATCTCACAGTGGTAATCATCACAGGACCCAGAAATATATATAAAAGTCAGGTTTGAGTTTGCCGCATTTTGTACTAAAAAAATCATGAAAATCTTTCTTTTTTAGATAATTTTTGATAATGCCAGTCAGAATTTTATTTCCTATTATAGTAACCGACTGACATTATCATAATTCCGGCCCTGAAAAAATACGTACAACTCATAGTAAAAAATTTTTCATCACCTGACCTATATATATATTTCTGGATCCTATCATCACCATAGCGAAATTTCAGACGGAATTTTTAATTAACTCTTCTCGGAACTCAACCCTAATTTTTGGTAGTCGTGATCGTCACCTCCGATGATATTTAGTAGATTTTTGGCTATATTTGACCATTTTAGTCATGGACAAACATCCAACCCCGACCAGTAAACACATGTGCCAATTCAGAGTTTATCAGTTACTGTATATAATTTTTACAAAATTTTAATTTTTATCCTTTTTCAAAAAAAATCAGGAATTAGAATTTGTTAAAATTGCTATATCAAGTATCAACGGATATTAGGATTCATTGTACGTCTGAATTTTCTATGAATTTACGGATCTAATTCATTTCACCGACGAACATTTCACTGACATATATACAGAATTAAATATATTTCCTTGTTAGATTTAATAAAATACAAAAAAACTACTACTATAGAATTCCTTAGGGGAATAGCACATACTTTTCACAATAGTTTATTTTTTTTAATAAATGTAGTTGTGATGATCAAAAACTAAAAAGTTTATATATACTGTATATATATATTTGTTAGTAACGTGCATTTCTTATTTATCTACTAACCCGTCTAAGATGGAAGTAAGTATCAATACTTATTAGATCTAAACTAAATATCTAAAAAAGCTTTTATAATAAAATATCTCATATTCAATATTTATTTTTTATGTCGGTGAAATGATTTTCGGCGAAATGAACCAGACCCAAAAAGGAGTAATGCCAGCAGTAATATCACTAAAACTATGATAAATTTAATAAATTTAATATTTTGTTCATTATATAGCTTGTCTCCAGAATATTATTTGTGTGCATAATTTACTATATGATTGGCTGTTGCTAGTATGTATTAAATAAAAGAAAATTAATTACGTATCTAATTATATATAATCCAAGCTAATGTTATACATTTTTTATATGATCCTAATTTAAAATTTTTAATGAATGATGAGACGAATCATCATCATTTTCATTAGTAACTCTTTTCATTAGTAACTCTTTTGATACTAAACGCATGTGCATTTACCAAACACTTGTTGTGTAACAATATTTTCTTTTTCTGCGCAATATGATATAATAGCATTGTTAATAAAGCGCTAAATGGAATATTAGCTTTATAAAAAAAAATTGTTGTTACCTTTATGGAGTATATTAATGACATAATGACGATTAATAAGTATACTATAATATTATTAGAATTTCTTTATTTAAGCGGAAATATCAGCTGTTAAATATCACAAGATAAATATTATGATTTATTATTGTATAATTATTTCGACGCGTTATTTTTATCAATCGTAAGCATCGATTATGTCATATACAAATACAAATACCAGTCAATTAAATTATTTTTTCATCTTTAGTGTAGAAATGTTGTTAAATGTACGTATAAACTCAAATAGAAATCAACGACGAATTCTACGTAAAACGTAAAAGACGTAATATTATTACTAGAATTTATTGAATTACGTGCACGAGACAATAATGCAAACACATTATTAAGTCAAATACCTTACAATCACAAATGATTCATTTGCAAATCAAATTTTTTAATGGAGCACCTTTCTATTAACTTTTTACTATAATTTAGTAAGTATGTTATGCTGAGTGTTGTGTCTATATTTATTTTATAAATCGTATTAATTTTTTTGTATTAAATAAATTAGAAATAATCTTGCTAAATAATTAAATTTTTGAGACAATACTTCTTGGATTAGTTTACTACAAAAGCACTTTTTCGTTTGTATCGCCAAAGATTATTTACTTGAGCACAAATAAATCTCTGATTTGCATGTTATAAGTTCGGTAGCAAAAATTTTCTGTTTTAGCAAATAATTTTATAAGAATTCTCCCTATGCAGATTTCTGTGTATTATTAATATACATGAAATAAAACTACACATTGATTTACTGGTGATCAATAAACAATGTGACATGCTGACATGTGAGATTGCGCTTAAACTTTGTGTGACTTTAGGATTCAAGTCTATCATCACAATCTTTTGTTCTATTATCGTACTGAACTGCCGTTTCGTTTACAATAGGTGAAGTTTTTTTATGAATAATTACTTTATAAGAAATGAATATGTTGCAAACTTAAGATGATTAGAGTATTGATATTACGTTACCAGTCAGAATCTATCTAGTCACGTGGATTAGTGGCTGACACCAGTGTTGCCCACTGATCATGATTTTGGCAGAATCGATTCTAATTTCTATACTAGAAATTTCCTTTCATAATTTCAATAAGATTTAAAATGAGAATACACCATTAGATCAGCTATTTCGTCACCGATATGTCATTTTCCTTTCATCTTTCTTTCTTTCTTTATTTTTTTTTAAAACTCTTCTTTTTTATNTTTTTTTTTTTTTTTTTTTTTTTTTTTTTTTTTTTTTTTTTTTTTTTTTAATATAACTTTTATAACTGCGAATTCACGCGTGACATAAACGCTGCGAAACATGCCAATTCAGACCGAAAACTGATAATGAGATTTGTAGTAATATACGCTCGGAGGAACTACCGTAAGAAAATTATTGAATTTCATTTAAAACGTGCTTAGAAAAATTTCTTTTTTAAAATCATAGATGATGAATTTGATCCAGTTCTTGGAAAAGACTTAACAATATTCATAACAAAATGATCTTGATAAATTAGAATATTTCAATGCGGTTATCAAAGTATACAGTATATCACCATAGTTCTGACTTTATCGGCTAAAAATGATCAAGTTGGATGACACAATTAGCCAGTAGGAGGGACTAAATTTCAAATGCTTATTTCTGCATCAATGAAACATGATAATTATTAAACTGAATCCGAGATTTTGATTATGATAAATTTTATAGAGTTGAGGGAAATACTTGAAAAGAAAAAAAAAATGAAAAAATCCTTCAATACTTAGAGGAGGAGTTGAATTTCTCTAAAAAAAAAATTGGTAACTATAGAATTAAAATATTTGATAATCTTAATTTACAGAAGAAAATGATATTGAATCAATGGAAATGAACTCTCCACTCAAATATAAGCAAGCCTAGTGTTCTTAACCTTTGAAAGGAATTAATCGCTAAGAATTAAACCAAGAAATTTTAAAATCGAAATAAAATAAAAGCATAAAAATTTATTTATACTTACTTATCTGAAAATTTATACACCAGTCAACATGAACAATTGATGTAAAAGAACAATGGTGTAATTTTGAAAAAATCCAACATTTACCTGCAAAGTTAGTTGGCCATTTATTACTCCGTTATCCGAAGAATAAAAGAAAAGAAGAAAACGTCAAGAACTGACGACGTAGACAACGTTACCAGTTACACAGTGAAATTTGATATAATGGAACCATCCGTTTCCATTAGTAAAATTTGTCAAAAATCCGTTATATCGAGGGTAAATTAATTATAGATTATGATAATCCGATATATCAAGACTTTACTTATGTTCCGTTATATCAAGATTCCGGTATATCGAATTTCACTGTATATATTGACATGGATCAATTCACTCCGATTCCGATGATTGTTCCTCCTCCAAGTATAAAAGTGAACTTTCCTCAGATCAGTTCTGAACGCCTTAAAGAATTCCGCACTGTGAAAGCGCGCTTAAAATTTTCACAATCTTCCGTTATTCTACACGTAATTCTGGGAGAATCGAGGAGACATTACCTGGTCCTTCTAAACCTCACTAACTGCCATACTCCCTTCAGAAATGCCTGTTATAATCATAATTCCACGCAACGCTTTTACGATAGTTAATGATGTTTAATATGGCTTCATACTGTAGATATTATTTATGAGGCGCAGTTTTATTATTTATTTTTTGTGTTTAAATTTTTGAAGTGTTTTAAATTTATTACCGGCCCTAAACTATTGGAGAACTTATTTTGGTCCGAAATGACATTAAACTATTATCTAAATTTTATTGGCTATTCTTGAATTTAAATTTTATTTTAATTGGTAAAAGGGAGATGAGTCATTTTGACTATGATAGAAATAATCATTTTAATTGGTGATAATAGTGAAATGGTCAGGACTACTTCTAATTTTGGGAGAAATTAATTTTATTCTATGTTTGGTAAATTTAAAGACGTTATTTTCTTAAAAAAAAAAAAATTTTTTAAAATTTCATTACTTTATTTTTATTTTAAAACAAGATGTCTACCAGTGAGTCTTAACTTCCGCTATCGTAATGCGGGAAATAAAAATATACTTTTCGCGATTGAGATTTCTAAGGATAAAAAAGTCTCTGATCTTGAAGAAGAAGTAAGAAAGAAGCTGGCGCCAATCAATCGTAACGACTTCCTCCGCAAATTTATCCCGCAGAGAAACCTATGCGGCCAGAACTCAGAAGATAGAGTTTTTTTTCCTATTTTAACGAGACGCCTGATGATGAAGACCGTATCCACATTCGAATTCTTCCCTAATGAGCAGTTAAAAATTTTTTATTCGCACAATGTAATGCATTTTTAATACATTGAAAAATAAAATGATTGTATTGTATACAATCCATTCGGACGCAGAGTTGTGTTGAGAACAATTGTTTTATTATAAAACACGTGATTCATGATAGACAAACATTACTATACTTTATAGAGAATTAAAGGCTAAGACTGATTTCGATTTAGAAAAAGAATTCTACTACATATTTCTAAAATCTAACGAGTATTAAAATTTTATGAAAATAATTATAGAGTCAAGGTTTTAATTTAAATCTTGTAAAATATTTTGCCAGTCTTTCAGGCCGCTGAGTCTTATAATACTAGGAAATTAGTAACCGTTAATTTAGTGTTAAAGTCCCGAATCTATTCGTTCCACTTCTAAATGGAGCTTACATGGGCTAAAAGTCCATCATTCGTTGTACAAGTGTAAAAAAAAAAATACAGAGACTATATGGGACTAATGTATAATCTTCTAACAATAAAAAAATACAAATTCCAAAATAATTAATCATTTATAAAATAATCATTCTTTTAACTGAATACTGTATTATTCTTATCAACTTTTTTGTTAAATACAATGTGACCTTCGATTTTATTCAGTATAAGATAAACCGTACTTAATATTCTTGAATTAGGGAAGCTATGAAGAAATATTTACGTTATAAAGTTTATTCATTATTTTGTCGACAGTTCCTTTAAGTAGTTTTTGTTCACGTTCATATTCATCTTTTCTTGCATCTTGGTTATTCTCAAGCCATGCAACCGATTTTTGTGTTACATCATGAAGTTTATTCTTTATATTATCGATACTCTAAATTCAGGTACATTTTAAAAATGAAATTATAAATTATCAAGTAGAGAGAATTTTAATAACTGAGAAACTTACTTGAGCAACGTTAAGTAAGTTATATGCATAGGATTCCAAGCAATTTTGTGCTTCTATTTTTTGTGCATATTGTTCTCTTTCTGCTGCAAGATATTTTTCGGCTTCGGTAACTGTAATTATTAAAATAACTTATATTACATATGATTATTAAAACATGAATATTAAAAATTGATTCAAACCCATGCGTTCGATTTCTTCTTTTGATAATCGTCCTTTGTCATTAGTGACGGTAATTTTATTTGACATGCCTGTTGTTTTATCAACAGCAGAAACCTATAATTGATTAGAAAGTTAAAATACGATTAATTTAATAAATTATATAATATTTATACATAAATACAAACGTTCAAGATGCCATTTGCATCAATATCAAAGGTAACTTCAATTTGCGGAACACCTCTTGGTGCTGGAGGAATTCCAGTCAAATGAAATATTCCCAGCAAGTTGTTATCTCTTACTCGAGTACGTTCACCTTCATATACTTGTATTCCCACACCAGACTGATTGTCATTATATGTAGAAAAAATTTCAGATTTCCTAGTAGGTACTGAAGTATTACGTTTAATTAATGGCTTCATTACACCACCAGCAGTTTCGATACCCAGAGATAAAAAAACGACATCAAGTAAAAGTAGATCTTGAGTCTTTTCAGAAGTATCACCAGATAAAATAGCAGCTTGTACAGCAGCACCATAGGCTGCGGCTTCAGCAGGATTGATAGATTTGTTTGGTTCTTTACCATTAAAGAATTCAGATATCATTCTTTGAATCCTAAGAATATAAGTTGAACAACCAACTAAAACAATTTCATGGACTTGACTTTTGTCAATTTTACTATCCCGAAGTACTTTCTCAACAGGTTCCATTGTAGAATTAATTATATCTTGATTTAATTCTTCAAATCTGGTTCGCGTCAAAGAGGTATAGAATTCAATATCTTCATAAAGAGAATCAATTTCAATGGAAGCTTTTATTGATGTTGAAAGTGTACGTTTCGCACGTTCACATGCTGTTTTTAAACGACGGACAGCACGTGCATTTGATTAAATATCTTTTTTAAATTTTCTTTTGAATTCTTGTACAAAATGATTTACAAGACGATTGTCAAAATCTTCACCACCAAGATGATTATCACCAGCAACAGCTTTTACTTCAAAAATCCCCTCTTCAATAGTTAAGAGAGAGACATCAAAGGTACCACCACCCAAATCAAAGAAAAGAACATTTTGTTCTTCATGAGCTTGGTTATTCAATCCGTAAGCAATAGCCGCTGCAGTTGGTCCAGTACAAATGCGAAGTATATTTAAACCGGCAATCAAACCAGCATCTTTTATAGCTTGACGTTGAGAATCATTAAATTAAACTGGTACTGTAATTGTAGCACTATTAACCCATGTGCCAAGGAATGCTTCTGCGGTCTTTTTCATTTCAGTCAATACCATGGATAAAATTTCTTCGGGTGTGAAATCTTTCCTTTTTCCTTTATATTCTATATTGATAACTGGTTTGCCATTCTTGTTTACAACTTTGAATGGCCAATTCTAATACATTAAATATTTTATATGATTGTAAAACTTCTTAATTATCTTATAAAATTTCATTTTTTATATAGAACATACATACCTTCATATCAGATTGGACGTCCTGATCATTGAAATTACGACCAATGAGACGATGAACATTAAATACAGTATTATGAGGATTCATAGCAACTTGATTTTTGGCTGCATCTCCAACAAGAATTTTTGTACCAGTGAAAGCTACATATGATGGTGTTGTACGATTACCCTGGTCATTTGCAATAATTTCAACTCTATCATTTTGCCAAACACCAACACAGGAATATGACGTTCCTAAATCAATGCCGACTGCTTTTCTATTCATTAAGGCTATTATTTTTTCTATTGTATAGTAAATAAATCAATGAATATTCTTAGGCAAAACTGGGTAAAAAAATTGCAGAGAAATAGAATATGGCAATTTATTTTTACAACACATATACGTATATATATAGTAATATATTATATATATACGACAAAGATTTACACTTAACATTTCCAAACCAGTAATTGAATGGTATCAATTTAATAAAGCATTTTTAAAAAAAGTAAATTAATGGCTCGGTTTAATTAGTAATACACCTTCTTGTGTTACAATTTCTTCTTCACTTCCTTTAGTGGATGATCATATTAAAAATCGTTTTGCAGAAAGAAGACGACATGGAACTCGGTGAAGATGACTTGGAATTATTCGCAAGCAGCAAATAACAGTCGTGCCTTCTTTAAGGCGAGCAAAAAAAGGTACAAGTATCTATTTTTTTTTTACAAATGTGTATAAATTAAATCTATTATAATTTATCAACCCTTAAAAAATTTTTCAGAAAAATGTTCACGTGTCTGGGTTTTTTCGGAATGAAAACTAGAAAAATGAATCATTTGAGTTTTTCCAGAATTTTTTTTATAGGGCAACCCATATATATTATCCAACGGTTTACAATATACATGTTGCCCAAACTCGGCAATTTCGGAATAATTTCAGGATTCGGCCTTTGGCCAATCATTCCAAAACGAAACTCCAGCCGAAAGTTGAAAGTTGGGCCGAAATTTTCTGGCCGGCATTATGAATTTTGGCCCGCATTATAACTTTGTGTAACATTCTTTCCCGATGGCTAAACTTTTATCCTGCGTCACGTGATATATAATTCTGGCCAGCACTAAAAAATTTGGCCAGAATTATAAAATAGTTTCGGACATTGATCTCAAGTTTCGGCAAGAGTTTCGTTTCAGATTTCGGAACTTTCGGATTCGGCCATGTTTTCGGCAAGTTTCGGCTACATGTATAGTTTAAAAAGAAGAGGTGAACGTTACGTTATGGTCTTATGACTTACAACAAGTGCCAATTTTTTTCCAAAATACAAGTCATAATCAATAGTAACTTAGCCAATATTCAGAAACATTAATAAACCGGGTAAGGAATTACGTTAATTCTGGGTTTGAAGCTTGACTAGGAATTATGTAATTCTGCCCACCGATTGGTTTTCCCTCGGTTAAATATATATTAAACATATGCGTCCAATAGTCCTTTTAGAAGCAATAAGAAAGATTCTTACAAAAATTTTCAATAATAGATTGAATAAATATTTAAGCAATAACAGCATTTTACAAAAAAATAACAGAGCAGGAGTTCAAGGTTCTTCATGTATGGAAATAATTTTTAATATCCAGGCGTCCATTACTGCGGCTAAAAATCTTAATAAGCCACTTTTCATCATGATTCAAGACCTCTCAAAAGCGTATGATCGGGTAAATATTCCGTTATTGGAAAAATCTTTACAGCGTATTTGTATACCGTCACCAATAATTACTTTTATAATTAATCTTTTTACGAATAGAACAAATCAAGTAATTTTTGAAGATTGGATTGGAGACCCTTATGACGTTCTTACTGGCATTGACCAAGGTGAATCAATTTGTCCGCTCTTGTGGGTCATATATTATGATCCTTTGTTCGAGGCAATTAATAATTCAGTTTTCCCTGGCATTGAATACACTTCACATATTCCGCGTTCATGTTTTTTCCCTAAACCTGAAAATCATGATGATAACGACATCATCAAAGAAACATTGTCGCACAAAGTATTAGGATATTTAGATGACACGACATGGCTAGCAGAAACCTAGACAACTTACAAGAAAACTTAAAGATTGCACATCAATTTTATGAACTAGCTAATATACATGTTAACAAAGATAAAACACTTATCTTAGCCAACAAACACGCAAAAAAGATCATAGACAGAGATTCACCTTCTCCTACTTCTTACATAGAAATAGAATTTGGAACAGTTATCAAAGTACCTTTATTGGGAAAAAATAAGGTGGCTCGAATATTAGGAGTATATTTTAACCCTGATGATGGTCATCAAATGAGTATTATAATGTTATTAACTACGTCACTATGTTAATGCGGAAAAAGAAACTTACCCATGATCACGTGATATACGTCATTAATAAAGCGAGGATCGAATATATTTCGCAACATTTTATTCTCTCCAATCATCAATGTAACAAAATCAATATAACTTTACGATCTACGCTCAAACATGCATTAACCTTACCTAAAAACATTTATAATTCTGTTTTACATAGTTGCATCTACCCTTATATTATTAATTTTTTCGACCATTAACTAAAAGTTCAGTCATCATTATTAGTTGCTCAAGTAAATTGTCCTCATACCTCAAATACCCTTAAATTCCTTTTTTATTAAGTCAACAAAAATTCTGGCTCCCAAACTCTATTATTAACTTTTTTGATTTATTTAATAAACTCTTAAAATATTTTTCTCGTATCGAATCTTTATTTACTTTTTTTAAATTTTATAATCTTTCTATTTCAACAAATTTTAAATTTACTACTAAAGGAGGTAATTATCCTATTTCTCACTTTATTATAGATCAGAGATTTTTAATGGTACATATCAATAGTTTGAGAAAGAAAGGAATCATGTTTTTAGACCATATTATAACTAAGGATCACGCTTATTTACACGAATATAATGTTATCAAAGAGTCACTAATCCACAAAGGAGGACCGCAACCTAGATGGTATCAATTCCTGAAAGAACATATAGCTACTATTAATAATTGTAATAGACTAAGTATCGATCTCAGGGTTCCATTAATTCAAAATTCATCAGCTGCTCGACCAGCTATTCCACCCATATCAATCGACACACTCCATCATCCGAAACGATCTCAAAAATGGGTTGTAGCTTGGGTTCCAAGCATATCAGATATTGTTTATGGCAAAAATTTAAGTACTAATCACTTTCCAAATAGCATTCCAGTTTCATATATTGAACATTGGGTTCATCGAGATATTTCAATAATAGTTAGAAATGACACACCGCGTTCTCAACGGAACACTATCATTCCTTGTCAAGGATGTAGTCAACATTTTAGCCAAAATGTATTTTACAACTAAAACATCAAGACCTCTTGTTGACAGAAGTACTTAGTAAAAAGAAGAGACAAGAACTATCGACATCATCCAATAGAAATATCAATTCTTTTCATTTGCTTAAATATAGCCATCCTCATTATAGAATTTTAGCATACAATGACTTTTTATATCAACAAAAGAAAATACCACCACGTCTTGACAGACCTATTGCTCCTCCTCAGTTGAGTCGACCCACATTTAGTAATAATACATTTATTAACCAACTTCTTGAAGATGATATGATAGTGAAAGAATTACAGGATATAGCTAGAACTCTTAATCCTTTTAATGTATTAGTGTTTTATACAGATGGTTCTTATAATGTTGAATTTTTATCTAATGAATACCCTATGGGTTATGGTTGGACCACTTCAAACATAGAGAATGCGAATATTACATATTCAGGATCGGTAAAATATTTTCCATCATCAACTAAAGCGGAGATAATGGCTATACTTACGGCGCTTATTACTTGTCCGCCTAAATGCAACGTAACGATTCACACAGACTCTCAAGCTGCGATCGACGCATTTCATAAATCCAAAAATCTCCACTCGATCTCCCCTAGACGTTTCAACAAGATCAATAATAATATTTTATGGTCGACCATTCACCAAATCATTAACACGTTATCATTAAATGTAAAGTTCATAAAAGTGAAAGCACATTCAGGTGACCCATTTAACGATATCGCGGATGCGTTAGCAAAAGTTGGTCATGTTGTAGTATCCCCAACGATTATTAAACATAATAACCTACCAAATCAATCTCTCACCATTGAATGGAATGAGGAAATTCCATAAGATAAAGATGTTCACAAATGCATTGGTACTATCCTTAATTATAGACGAATAGAAAATCATTTTAATCGCCCATCACTTAATTCCGTTAAAGAATCAACTAAAGACAACTTAATCGATTGGTCCTTATCTTCTAAATGGTTTAACTTCAATGGACGTAATGATTCCACAAGTATCTCACATACGAAAGATTTGAAATGGAAAATCAGATGCTCGACGCTAATCCTTCCGACTTTGGATATTCTAAATCGCCGTTATCCGTTAATTATGAAAGATAACATTAATTGTCTATTTTGTCTTAACACTCCTGAATCTAACCATCATTTATGGATTTGTCCGGAAACAAGAAGTCTGATTAGAAATTGCTTCATCACGTTGGGAAACACTCTTATAGATTTATTAACAAAAAACGCAGACAAACTTTCTTTAGTTGTACCTGATAGTGTTAAAATTTCACCAACTTTTAGATGGGCCTATCGTAACGAAGAAATACACCCAGTGGCACTACTTTTTCTCAAATCTTATATCACCAACGATTTGGTCAGAATATTTAGATCACACTTCAATACGTTCAAAATGATTTTGCGGTTTTTATTACCTTTTATGCGCACTTCCAGCGTGTTGTTTAAAACTAATATATAGAAGGAACGTAATTCCAAATGGAAAAATCTAAGGTCTGAGTTAGGGCTGTCAAAAAAATCTTTTAAAAATTATTACAAGGATTTTAATCAATCGAGAACTCCAGGTGATATACGCCCTGATAATCAATTTATGAGACGAGGTCGTGATTCAATATACATCAACCCTTTTAACGATTATCGTAATTTTAAATTACAGCAAGACTTTTTGTTTATTTTATTTACTTCGTCAAATTTTTTACATAGCGGTCCTTTCTTCAAACATTTGGAATGTAATGAATATGTGAAATACTTACCTATTAACAATAATGATACTTCTTTATTTTATAATGTGTAGTTAGCCACTTCTTCTCTTGCATTAGATTCTTAGATAGTTTTATAATTTTTATATAGTTTTAATTTTGGGTACTTGCTCTTTTTGTTTATTTTTTTCCGGGGTACCTGTTCCTTCACCGGTAGTGGTTTAGGGACAGTCTTAGGGATTGGAATCGATTCCCATTATTAGAATCGATTCTAAAATCGATTAATCGTGATTAATCGTTTCGCAAATACTGATTTTTTTTTATACTATTTATAATAGGTGTGTTTAAACACATATCACGTGATTACGAAAAATTACAGTGATCGACGAACAAATTTCCTTTTTTGGAAATTTGTACAACCTTGTGCGATAGCAACTTGAATTTTATTGGGAGATAAAATTTCCTTTTTAGGAAGTTTGTGTTCCGTCACGTGATTCGCGGGCGGAATTATGAATTTGGCCAAAATTAACTATTATGAACAAATAATAATTTACGGTCAAATTAACGAAACTGCGCCACAATAAGTAGATTCGATTTTTATTCGAGATTCGATTTAAAATCGATTCTTATCGATTTTCGATAGTTTCGATTTTAATCGAATCTTTTCCGATCCCTAGACAGTCTATATAAAGAGAAGTTAGGGTCTGGTCTTGTAATGGGCGTAAGGTCCGTTCTTGTATTGGATGATAGAATAGATGTAGGGTAATGTCTTTTAGATTATATGCTCTCTTAGTTAGTCTTTCCTGCTTCACATAAAATAAATAAAAAATAAACTATAGTGTATGCTCAGGACAATTAAAAGAACCCTGATCCTATTTTACAACATAATAATAATTACATTATTTCGCTCATAAAAAATTATAATAATTGTTTCTGTGCCTAATTTGTTCACAATTTTTTTTAAACTTAAAATTTAAAACCATAGTCGGTTTTATAGCGAAGTGATTTTATTTTTTATAACGAAAATTTGAAGAATTTTAATGATAGATTCGTTATAACAAGCGTCTCTTAATTAGAAAATTCGAATTCGTTATAAAAATGAGCCAAATATATTATGATACCAATAAATTATTATTTTCTGAAATTATTATGTTTTTGGAATAAATAAAATTTTATTTATTTAAATGTTTTATGTACCACCTAAACACAGTTTTCATTTAACCTTTTACCCTTCATTGAAAAAAAATATAGTTCTACGGAAAATCCGGTAATCAAACAATTTTGCGACATAACCTAAGACATATCCGGTTAATATCTTTCTAAAACAAACCAATTTATAACGGATATTCTATTTATTGATCATGCTGCGGTTACACAAAATATCCTTTAGAAATCACCGCTTTAAATCTTTTGATCTATGTAGTCTATTTTTAATAATAATTATTATTAGTTAGCAAAAAAATTTTGGATATAATATTATGTTTATTTTCTTTATGTTCTTTTTTTAGAAATTTACTGCGTCTAAAAATCATTAACATCAATAATTTGGTTAGAAAAAAAAAATCAAAGCCCACGACAACAATAAAAAATTATTCATAAAAAATCATAATTGTAAATACATAGGAAGTTTCTTCTTTTCTTGAATACAGTATTAATTAATTATAATTGGCTGAATAATAGAATAATCCTTTTAATACAGTAATGACGAAATACATGACGAAATAAATGACGAGTCATATTTGAAGAAATGAGAAAATGATTTTGATATTTTGAATGAATAGGCCTCAAACTCGTTCGAAGGTGTTTGATATCACAATATTTTCATATTGTTTTCGATATAAATAAATGACGGCATATGATAATCATATATTCATTTGCAAAGAATTGTTTGATTTGTTTATGTCACACGAGTTACCGTTACCGATTTCCGATTGAAATTAAATGCTAAAAAAAAAGTTATACTTAAAAACAGGACTAAGAAAATTATTATTTTTTTATAAATAAAAATAAACAATTGTACCAATCAGAAAAAAGATAAATTTGTTTTTTTACCAATTACCTTTAAAAAATTCACTAAACCGATTAAAAAATTGACTAAACTGATAAAGGATAATCATTCTCAATCAATAATCTGATTTTGGTTAGTGATCATCCTTTTAAATTTTGTTGTTTCGCCGTTTTCTAATTTTAGTTTTGGATAAAATGTTATTTGAAACAAATTAGGGAATTTATTTTACTGGAATTTGAATTCCGACTGTCGTCATTTGGTGATCATCATGTGTATTTTCGTAAATCCTCAAAATGTTATAAATATTACCCCGTTGAACTTGATAATTTCTTCGTTTTAAATTTCATTCATATTTCTTTTCAGTATTATTTTTTTTCTATATACAAAAAAATAACCACAAATATTCAATAAAAATAAGAAAATTTTGTAAAAATGGGTAGAAATATTGTCGTAATGTGTGATGGAACATGGAATAATCCAAATTCCCAAACAAACGTTTTTACATTATATAAAGAATTAATTGAGAGAGATTATCAACAACATGTTTTGTATATAGACGGAATTGGAGTTGGTGAATTGACCTGGAATTTTATCGTTGATGGAGCTATAGCTCTAAGTCTTGATAATAAAATCAAAGAAGGTTATAGATTTATAGTTGATAATTATCGTCATCCTGATGATGATATATGGATTTTTGGTTTTAGTCGTGGTGCTTACACTGCGAGATGTATTGCTGGAATGATAAGAAATTGTGGAATAATAAATCGAGAAATCAATCCTGATCAAATTGACAAAAGTGTTGATCTCGCTTATAGTTTTTATCGTGATAGAGATTTAGCTAAACACCCGGAAGCAAAAGGTTCTGAAGAATTTAAAAAATCTTTTAGTTATCCTGATTCTAAAAAATACACTATAAAATTCCTTGGATTATGGGATACTGTTGGCGCTCATGGTTTACCCGGTTATGCAATTGGTGAAGGTTTTAAATATTTGGAATTCTATGATCAAACTGTACCTAGTATAATTGAAAATGCTTATCAAGCTTTAGCTATTCATGAAAACAATGCTTTCTTTGAACCTTGTCGTATACTTCCGAACAAATCTGGTACTAAAGTAAAAGAGACTTGGTTTCCGGGTGTACATAGTGAAATAGGTGGTGGAACTTTTTTATCACTTAAAGGCAATGAAAGAATAACTAATGCAACTCTTTTGTGGATGATAGAAAATATCGTAGAAGTTGGAGGTTTATTAATGCATAATGATATCGAGACTTATCGTACTCGTTTCTCTCCTGATGTTGGACCTTCTTGGAATAATATGAATTATATATTTGATCGTATCAGTACTATTCTTCCAACGATAATAGTTAAAGATAGAACTATTTCATTAGAATTAGATTCTAGTCCAAACTTTTTAAGAATAGATTCTAGTCAAAAATGTTTAAGAAAAGATCTTCTTTATAGGGATGGTGATTGGTTGCTTCCATTTGGTACTAGGTCATATCTGTGTACTCATTATACTTCGAAAACATATGAAGAATTACGTAAAGTTATGGAAACGAATGGAGTTAAACTATATAATAAAGATAATAGAAATATAAAATACGATTTGGATGTAAATGAAAATGCACAAGAGGATACTCGTCCATAATCAAGGAGGATAAGGAGGATATGATTTATTGAACAATTTCATTTAGTTTCAAGTAAATTATTAGATTGATAATGTCACTTTCAAATAGATTTAATATATAGTTTTTTCTTTGGAGACATTACAAGAACGAATAATATTGGAACAAATAATATTTCATTTTCACGATCATTTTTTTTTTTTAAATTTAGTTCTTCACAATTATAAACAAAGTAAAATAAAATTATTCTTTTAAAAAAATATATATTTTAAAGTATTATTTTTTTTATGTGTATTATGTATAAAGTTAATTATATACAAATTAAACCATTATTTATCATTGTTAAAACAAAGTTAAAAAGAAGTCTTCTAATGTAAATTTGATGTTGCATTTTAACACGTTAACATCGTTAGCTTTTTGTTTCAGTATCACGGAAAGATACGAAAATTATCATACAATAATTAACTTATTGTACTTTAAATTATTTCGAAATATTTTCATATTTAGGATAATATTACTTATCTTGAAAAATTTGTTCGACAACCTCGCAACTGCAACCAGCCTGACAGACGTCGGACAACCTGCGCGCCATTACACGAGGCAGAGAAGTCAAGAACACTCCTGAAGGAGACTGGAGGCTTGAGACTGACGCTAACAGTGCTGTGGATGCCAAATAATTTTTATTTTAAGACGTTCGTAGGCTGAGAAAAAATTAATTTCTTTCGCTATTGCTTGACAAATACTGTATATTTTTATATTATTACGGATCTTGAATTCTCAATAGCAATATGCAAATATATAACAATTTCATTTTTCTAACTTTCGACCTTTACTTTTTGCAATATGTCCAAGAATTTTTTTATTGGTTTTGATGATTTTTCTTCATCCTTTGAACACTCGTCAGTTGTTACCAAGGTTGTAGTAACGAGATGTTTTAATATCTTAATTCATAATATTATGTAGTTTAAATTAAGAACTCAAACCTCGATTCACCGATTAACTACTGATATTTACAATTAATAAAAAAGAGAATAACTACATTGTCCCACCACTGTGGTTTCGGAATTGGATATAAAAGAGCTTTTTGCCAACTTTCTGGAATAACCTGATGGTCAATACAAAAATTATAAAGATAAACTATCTCTTTTAAGAATCTTGTTGGTATCTTCTTAAATATCTCGTATGTTAATTTGGAAATCCAGGGAGCTTTATTATTAGGGAGCAATCTTAAAATTTCTTCCATTTCTTCAATTGTGATTGTTGAAGATAAGAATTCTTTTTCTTGTAATGGAATATTAGTTCGCGGTTGATAAATAGGGTTCCAAAAAGTATCAAAACCTGTTAAGTGATTGTAAACATTTTCACCACTATTTTTTGACCCAATATTTTGAAAATGTGAATTAGTAATACGAGTTATCGTGTCTCTATCATTTGAAAATTTAATTTCATCATTTTCTTCATCTGTATATTTAATGTGATTTTGCGTGGATGGCGTTCTAATATAGAGTTTAACATACGCTTGTTATTATTTTTGATGTCGTCATCCCTTCTGTTGATAAATTTGTTTATTTGATCTGTATCCCAACGTGATCGATCTTTGTCTAGTTGCTTTTTGATATTGTTTTCAAGTGTAGTAATAATTTCCCTAATTCTTGTATTTTCAATCTCAGAGGTGATGTTCGGAGGTAAAGGTATGATTGGATTAATCTTATTAATCAATAAAAGTTTATTTAACCATTTTCTTTTTTTTATCCAATATTTATTGAAAACATTAAGCATATTATCTATGTCTATAGAATCATTTTGAGATTGATTGAGATTATCGTTGGTGATTTTGAATAATTCACTGTTTTGCCCGATTGATGCCCAATCCTTTAAATATTCTTTGAAAGACGATAATTGATATAATTGATTATATTGTCTTCTAATATGTAGTGGAAAATTGTTTCTCTTTGGAGGAGTATGTTTATATTTTTTAATTTTGGCGACCTTTAAAGCTTCTTTAATAGCGTCTTCAATTTGCCTCTGATTAACAAACGACTGAGGTGATAAGTTTTGATCTGTTTCTTCATAAATGTTATATTCATAATTAGATATCGTGTTTTGGAAAAGATTTCATTGATCAGAGTCCATTCCTTTTGTATTATAATGATCCTCTTGAGACGACAAATTACGTGATTTTGAAAACGATTTCTTATTTTTCATAAGATTTGAATTGGGATGATCTATCACAGTCAGTATTAGTGTATGATCTGATTTATATGAGGAGTTCTCTCTACTTATATTGAATCCAGTTATTTTGTTACAAAGATTTTTGGAACCAAAAATGTAATCAATAGTTGAAGGAGTTTTGTTTACATCGTCTGAATAGAACGTTGGTGTACGTTGATGCCCAAACTTTTCGGCAATGTTGACCATATTAAATTGTTGGAAGATTAAGTGCATGACTTGTTTGTCATGTAAATTATTATCTATACTATTTTTTAAATAATTAAAACCCCTTTGATCTAAAGGTGATCGAGTTTGGTGAAGATCATTGATATTAAAATCTCCCAGTATTAAAGTCACGTGATTGATTTTAGTTGGTTGTTCATTCAACTTCTCGAAGAGATTTTTGGTGATGGCTCTGTATGTGTCTCTATGTTTGGCTTCTAATGTAGGTAAATATATAGAATGAAGAAAAAATTTTGTTTTGTTGAGCATACACTATAGTAATTAGACTGCAAAGTCAAATTTGAAGTCACGGGTGTTTCTCTGTCCTCACGTGATTTTTCACCAATTAATACTGATATTTTTATAAATGAACTAAACTATAATTGCATAAAATATTATTGATATTTTTGACACATTACATCATCTAGACTAATTATTTAGTTAGCTTGAAGATAAGAATGCCGAAAAGCTTGTGTAATGTGTTTAGCTTTAATCGTAGTATTATTTTAATAAATTTGTTGATCGTACTAACCATGAAATTCAATGTATGGTTAGTTTGATGCCCAAATATAGCTTAAACTTTTCCAGCATTTTTATATTAAGCTTGAAGCTTGAAACTTATGCTTAAGCCAAAACTTAAGTATATGCTTCAAGCTTCAAGCTTCAAGCATTGGATCCGCAGTTAGCTTCTCTACGGATGGCAGGTTAATACTGTATATATTTTTTTTTTTTTGAAAAAAAAAGTGATTCTTTTCAAAAAAAATGATGATCGTGTACGTAATCATGTACGTAACAAAATGGTAATGATAATTATTTATTAAAATATATATTACCATAAAATAATATCATACAAAAGTATCTCAAATAAAATAATTTATTTTTATTTTTATTAATTAGAAAAAAAATTTTATCTATTCTTTTACCATTATCGATTAAACTAGGAAACGGGAACCGTTGTAAGTCCGGAGCGAGGTATAATAAATAAAGATGTAGCGATATTCTACTAATTAGTAGCATAAGGCCTTGGAATTCCGGTAATTTTCTGCTGATTACAGCATAACGCCTTGGAATTCCGGTAATTTTCTGCTGATTAGCAGCATAACGCCTTGGAATTCCTGGACAGAGAAACTCACGTGATTGAAAATTTACACGTTATTTCCATAGATCATCATAGTGCGTAGACATATATAGTCCTTCGCTTCGCTCCGGACAATAAAAAAAATAATGAAAGATTTCGGTAAATGTCAATCATTATGTAATCAAAATTTCTCATTCAAAGTTAAAAAAATTTGGACAAATGTTATAGGATTAAATATATCTATAAAAATAAATAAATTTTTTTTTTTTACAAATATATAATAATTACATCAAAATCTTTGATCATAAAAAAAAAATGATTCTATTTTTTTATGAAGAAATATTGACATCATTTTTTAATTTAATAACACTCATAAAAAAAAATTTAATAAATATCTCTTATTTTTGAAAAAAAAAGAGAAAAAGAAAAAAAAATTATTTATTTCCTTACATAAAAAAAAAATAAATAAATACTATGTCAGCAAAACTCACTTTAATTTGTCAATTGTTGAACGAGAAAGTAATAATTTTATTATAAAAGAAACTATTAGAAGAAGATAATACAACAATGAATTTAAAAATAATTTCCTTTTTTCCAAAAAATCCATCAGTTCCAAAATGGATTCCCGATTTTACATCTGGTGATGTAATTAGGTTTACAGGAAAATTTTCTCAATGAGAAACCTCCTCATGATGATATTTTGGAGGTAATTTTTAATTTATTATTTATGTAAAAAAAAAAATAACACTGAAAGAAAATGATTAATTTAAAAATTAAAAAATAAAAAAATAAATTAGATGACAGCTAATGCAGGTGATCATTTGACGATTAGTTCAATCTTTGTTTTTCTCATTGGTTACATTATAAGACAAGTACAAGATGATGATGATTTATTTAATGAATTTGTTGGAAAGGGAAATGTTGCTGACAGATTTAATATAAAATGTAGATACTTAAAAGCGGATTAGAGAATTGATAATAAAGCGAAAAAAATCCATAAACAGATTTTTCTTAATATATTCTACATTATTACAAACAAAAACATAAATACACAACTCACAAATAAATAACATATTAACTGAAAAAATATTAAAGGGCGTGCCACCCTAGTTTATATAAATTCTACAGATCAACATTTACCGTTGAATCTGATCCATTTACGATTTATTGTCTAGATAGGTACTGTACCTACAAAATAAAAAAAAGGCGGAACATCCCTGTTGCTGAAAAGCGACGTGAGACGATATTTCCTTTTTGGAAATTAATGTAACCAAAAAGTTTCCTTAGGAATACTATTCCTTTTTTGTTCGTGTAACATAACTGACGAGTGGGAGAAAAGCTACACAATTACACAATTCAAAGGAGTCTTAACGTGACACCATATGATTACAATGATTTCAAATAATATAGATAAAGATAATACAACAATATAAAAATATATATATATATATATATGTTGTGCCTCAGATCGATTCTTGCCTCAGATTGAAGCTCACGCACCTCACATTGAGATTGTCACCTGACGCACCTCATTTGAATCATTCAATAAAGTCTGTTATAAGTAAACTTTTTTTCTCATTAATTAAACCACTTTTTGTAACATAAACAAACTTGTGCACCATAATGAGTTACATGTTTCCTGAAATG